GGGGGCGGGGAGGCACTGACGCTGCCCAGGTGGTTCCTCCAGTCTTGGTGAGAAGCTGTCCGATGACTCAGTTTCCCAGCGCCCACCTGGCTCGGATACCCCACCTGAATTTTCACGTGAAAAGGCGGTTCGGACAGGAGAACAGGCTGTCCTGAGCCTCGTTGGGAAGGAGGGGAGAGGTGCATTCCTTCCCCCTCCCCCGACGCTGGGCTGACGGAGAAGCACGAACCAGGGCAGGGAGCAGGGGCAGCAGGTGGTGAGCTTCTGCTGACCACCACACCCATCTGCACGGCCTCCTGCGAACAGCACCCACGTGTGCCTGTCCCGAGGGGAGAAGCGCTGATGACTGTCTAGAACAGGTCCCAGGGCCCAGCACCGTCACTGTGGACTTGAGCCGTGAAAACCCGCCAAGACGTCAGTCAGTGAGACTTGGGCAGGACTTATTTCTGTATTCTGGAAATTTCTACCATAACTCAGTTCAAAGGAAGTTAAATTTGTTTCCTTTTAATTGATTCACCATTTCATTATGGAAAGCCTGACAGACCAAGACAAAAACAGAAACATTGGCTATTCCAATTTTTTTTAAATATTGAGACTTTTTCAACAGAATTAATGAAAGAATATCAGAAATGTGTTATACATTTAATTACACGACTAGCAAGGCTGCACAACAGGCCCAGTTCAGGTCTCCAAACTCAACCAACAGGGAAGTCTGAGTGTGTGCCCGCGTGTGTGTGGACATGGGCGTGCACACGCTCCTCACACCTTCCCACCTGGTCACGACACAGTGAGATGGAGACGGTTCTGGGAGCTGCTCACGGCTTCCTGGGCGGAGATGGCAGACCCCTCACAGGAGGGAGACCCCCTTAGAGCACGTGCCGCAGGAGGTGGCAGGAAGGGTTCCACAGAAATGAACCCTCCCGGTGAGATCAGGACCACGCATCCACCCACAATGAAAACCTGCTAAACGCCCAGGTAAGCAGTTCACCAACAGTTGTCAGACTGCCGCCCGCCCCTCGGTGCAGGCGCTTACCTGGACCAGCTCACTCAGCATGTCCACGTTTCTGAAGATGGTGAACCAGAACTCAGGGATTCCTTTGGGGTTTGGCTCTTCTGCCGTTGCTGCTTCGTTTTCTGCTATGACTGCTTTATTTTTCATGTCTCCCTGCAAAATTAAACACGCAAAATGGAACACTTATTACAAAGTAACAAATTAACAATTGATCCAGTGGTTTAATGTAGGATATAATTTCAGAGTCCCACACAAACTATAAAAAACCCATTCTTTGAATCTGCATCTCCAAGACCACAGTGCATGTCCCAATTTCAAATGTTTCCGAAGGACAAAGCACGTGAGGCATTCCATCCAGGCCTAATTCCACGACAGGATTTCTCATTAGGGGGGAAGGCTAAAGAGGTGGCCCAATCACCCACCAGCACATGCAGCTCCAGTGTCTTCAGCAACAAGAAACTGCCCTGGACTCGTACGTCCAGCTCTAAGGAGATGTTTCTAAATGTCGGACAGAGGCACGGTGCCCACATCAGGGTGGTGACCAGAAAGCTACGTGGCTTTCACGGAGCGCTACACGGAGCCAGAGGAAGTGTGACGCTGCGTCACAGGGGGCCCTTTGGAGGGGCTTTGAAATGAGCAGAGGCAGGTTTTCTTGAGCAATAAGGAACTGACTCACTACTATACTGATCCACAGACACAGTTTCAGCTAGGCCAGGTTCTGTATATGTTTTTAAAATGTTTTATTTACATTTACTTATATATCTTATAAGAAAGGCAAAGCTTCCTATATTTTTTAAATTTTTTTTTATTGGAGAACAGCCATGGTCATTGGTTACACATTGCTTTCATGCTACAACAGCATACCGTATTTGCCGGCGTATAAGACGACTGGGCGTATAAGACGACCCCCTAACATTTCCACTCAAAATACAGAGTTTGTTATATACTCGCCGTATAAGACTACCCCCTCTTCCGCACACCTTCCACACACCAAATAAAAGGTAAAACAATATCAGATTTGATTTGGCCCACTGAAGTGCAAACAAGCGTATTGTATTTCGTGTCACCACATAACCGTTTTGGCGATGTTAAGCCACCATGTCTGCTACATGTTTTTCGAGTTCTGGCCAGTGTGGGGTGCCTCTTCTTAATGCACACTTACCCCTTGGCATACTCTTTAATGCTTTCTCATTTGATTTCCAGTCCCGAACCATCTTTTCTGTTACTCCATATTGTCTTGCAGCAGCACAATTATTATTTTCCTTAGCAAAGTTTATAACTTTCAGTTTAAAATTTGCATCATACTTCTTTCTTTTGGCTGGTGCCATGATAGGGATGATAGGGGTTTGACTGGTCGACATTTTCTATGCTGTACTGTACAATGGTGCAGTATTGTGGTTGGCTGTTGGCTGTATACAAAGCCTGATTTGATTGGTCCCTGCTCCCTGTTTGCCCGCCCTGTCACTATAGCAGTCTGGTCCACCCTTGCATCAGCATCTCCCTGGGACCTCACTAGTGCGCAAGTGCGAGCTCTTCACCATTCTAACAGGCACCATGATAGCGCAAAATCGCGAATCTTCAATGCATATGTAAAGAAATATACGGTAACCCGAATTTACCACACTCGCAAAATCACACACAGCCGACCATACACCCAGTACGGTATCGCGATTCGCGATTCTGCGCTATCATACTGGGTGTATGGTCGGCTGTGTGCGATTTTGCGAGTGTGGTAAAATCGCATAACAGCAAAATCGCATAACAGCCGAGCATACACCCAGCAGCGCTGCTGATGCCTGAACGGTATGTGGAATGAAGTGGGCGGGCATCGGGAGGCCACTATGGCACGGGGCAAGCACTATGGGCAGTCTATCTGAAGTGTACCTGGTGTATAAGACGACCCCCCACTTGGAGGCATATTTTTCAGGGCCAAAAAATCGTCTTATACGCTGGCAAATATGGTAGTTGACTCTTTTAAGGAGGGCGCAGCTCACAGTGGCCCATGTGGGGATTGAACCAGCAACCTTGGTGTTATCAGCACCACACTCTAACCAACTGAGCTAACCGGTCACCTCAAGGTTCTGCATATTTTTAAAGATCAAAAACATGTACGAAAACTCACATATGCTTCAAAAAAATCCCTAAAAGTGAGTATTACAGGATGGAATCTGTTTTTCTAAACATAAAATCAGGCCGACAGTTAACCTTGGGACGTACTGGGACGCTCCGCGGCACTGGAGTAGGACCGGTCGCCAGAAAAAGGCGGTGAGCAGGTGATGGATGGGGCACGGCACCAAAAGTACCCGTAAGGTACCCATGTAATGTAATGTAATTCCGAGTGTTTCCAACACGCCCTCCTCACAACCCCAACCTCCCAGGGCCCGCCCACACAGGGGGCCTCTCGGCAGGCCTCCACTCTCTCCTCAGGAAGGCTTCTGCTGATGCTTTCATCTCTGTCCAGCCAATCCCACCCCACTACAGCACTGTACGCAGTTGCTGCAGGAGACTGAGCAGGGAGATGCGTCTGGATCATGTGAACTGACAGCGCCAGGTCAGGCGCCAGGCCTGCCGGCTGCTCAGTATTCACTCAGAAAGAGGTCTGAACACCCAACCTAAGAGTGAAACAGCACCTGCTGTTAGCAGCTCTTTTCTCTGTCAAGTTGCATTGATGACTAAAGACCTTTAAGGACATTCCTTCTTTCTAACAGTGTTAAAACAGAACCCAAGTCCACTCATTAAAAAAACCAACTTACAGCCAATTTATCCTCCTCTTCATTCTCACTGTGCCACTCCGATTCTGCATCTGTCGGCTCCACATCACCAGTGACGAACTCCCTTCTCTAAGTGAGAACGAGAACCTTCAAGTTAGGAGAGTTATTCGGAAAGCCAAGAGTTAAGCTAATGAGTGTGTGTAACGTTACGAAAAGCCTGCAAACTGGATGCTCCTAGAAGCGATCCTGAGATTCCAAGTCTCAGGGCCTGAAGAGCACCCCTCGGCGACTCACTGGGCACATGCGGACATGCTGGGACGACGCACGAGCAGAGCCCCACCTTGTCGAACAGAGGCTGGTACAGCGCCGCGTACTTCCGCTCCAGGTCATGGACCTCCTCGTAGAACTTGGCTTCTATGTGAGCGCACTTCACCTGGAGCTGTTTCAGTGCATTGATTCTTCTCTTCACGGCTTTAGGTAAACTAAGAGAGGGAACAGAAAACAAAATTGCCACGCGCCTACAAAATCCAGGTGGAATGCTTTCTGATTTTATTAAAATAAATTTAGGTTAACATAGAATTAACATCCTTACTATGAAAAAATTAGGACAAACATTAAGAAAAGGACAAACATCCCAACAGAGAAAAAAAGGATAGGGGAAGAAACCAAAAAGGAAATTCACAAAAGAAAAAAACAATAAAACGTGACAGAAAACATCCAATCTCACGAAATAGCCAAAAAAACATAAATTAAAAGATCTTTTGGGCCGGCCGAGTGGTGCGATGGTTAAGAACTGGCTTGGGACGCCAGAGGGCCCCGGTTCGGATCCCACATATGAGGGCCAGTGACACTGCCC